TATCATTAATATATAGTATAAATAATTTAGGTCCCAAAACAGAACCCTGAGGCACTCCACCTACAATATCCAGCTCACTCGATTGGTATTCACCCAACTTCACAAATTGACGCCTCTGTGTCAAATAACTTCTAATCCAATTCAAAACCATTCCTCTGATCCCATATTTTTCTAACTTATCCATTAATAACTCATGATTGATTGTGTCAAATGCTTTTTTTAGGTCAATAAATATTCCCATCGTATATTTCCTCTCATCCATCGCACTTGTTATGTCCTCCATTAGGAGTCAAACATTTTTAATAACCTAATTAAAAGGGCTTCTTAATGAAAATGGAAGCAGCAAGAAGAATGGCTGATACATTATTGACTTTCTTCAACTCATCAAAGGCTCCCCCACAATTAGTAAGGCCCTTGTCCAATTATCTGATCAGATTAAAAAAACAACAACTCTACTCTACCTTTTTTCTCAAGTCCCAAGTGTAATCACCCAGGATTGGTCTGTGCAGAAGGTTCTGTAAAAACATCGGAGGAGGAAGGGATGCACTTACGATTCGATGCCTAGAGGGAAATCCTGGCTCATGGCTACAGTAGCTTTGAAGTTTTTCTTGCTTTCCTTACACACAAGTTCCCTCCCCAGATGAGGTGGCCTGAAGGTGGGAAGAGACACCGTCAAACACCCAAAGTTGTTTATCATCTGTGGTGGTTTACATGGATTTAAGATTTAGCATTTATACTGACTTTCTTGTGGCTGCCCTGAATTAATTGCTAATTATAGTAAGGACTGATGAAATTATACAAAATGCCAGATGCTTACTTTCCGTGTTCTGCAGTGATATACTCTTCCCAGGAAATTGTGTTGGGGGCTGGTGCTGTGAGGGACTGCCTTCTCACAGGCTGGGGACAAGACAACATCAGTCAGTGGCATAATCACAGTCATCAGAGCTCCATGCCACCACACTGGACCTCTTTCATCTCACCTCAAAGTTCTGTTCACTGATGCTGCCTCCTTTACTTAAACTTTCCATGATGGCTTTGTTCCTCAGGATGTCCTCCTCACTAAGGTGCTCTCGCCGTTTTCTTGACTCCAACACCAGACCGTTCACTGTATAGAAGTCAGCCAGGAAGTTGCCAACCCTCTCCTTTATAGAAAACAGATTTGGGTTCTTCATCACCCAGTGATTTCAAAAATGTGTCAAACTGCAGACTGAGGGTTGGAATGCACTAACTTCAGAGGAGGCTACAGTGTACCCTTCTCAGTGTTTCTATTATCCCAGTTTGCAGTCAAGTTTCATCTTAAAGGTGATTTTCTGTGTTTTTGTCATTTCCACACAATCCATACAGAGACAAACTCTTGCCTGTCTTTTTTTCGAAAAAGAGCTACAAACTGTTATGTGAACGCTAGCAGAGGGAGAAAAAAAAAAAAACCTAAGACAGGCATTACATTTTTCATGAGGAGAAATCATCATGAAGTGCAGCGTTGTGGCTCACTTGTGTTTTAAGTAAATTTCAGACAAAAATCCAGGTCTGTGGTACAGATGAGCAAACAAAATCGTGTTCTGGATTCACAGAGTACACAGGATGTGCCTATATGTTTTTTGTCTCTTTTTGATAATTTGTGGAATATAGAAACAAGGAAAATCACCAGCCTTTTCCTTTAAATTCACCCAGGTCTTTCAGTCATACTGCAACAAAACATTTCAATCAAAACAACTTGGACCTCTTCACAGTGTTGGGGAGTAGTGAACTACATGTAATTAAACTAGTAGTTTAATTTTACAGTTGTTTGCTAGCAATTCAACTACATTCATATATGCATAGTAATTCAAGTAGTTGAATTACTTTTGTCATTTTTTGTGTAGTTGACTACTAAAACTACAAACAATTTGGGGCCATAAAAAGGAACGATTTTTATTTTACCATGCTACATGTGAGTGGCTTTTCAGCACTGGCAAGGACATTTTCTGTGCCAGATGGAACCAAGTTTCATAAGAACATTGAGAGAGACTGCTTGCGTCATATAAAACACAAGATTCTGTTTTGACAAATAAAAAGATAGACCCATTATTTAGACCAGTGTTCAAACTGTTCATACTGTGTAGACTGAAAAACTCTTTCTTTCCCTCTGCCATCAGACTCCTAAACAGCTGAGGAGTTTACCAGGAAATAAGTCATGTACTGTTTACATTCTCAGTTTGCACATGCATAATTGCACATTGACTGTTGACTACTGCACATGCTGCTCCCATGCAGCATACATTCTCTTATTATATCCTTATATATTTGTATTCTATTACTGCAATTGCTGCTTAAAGTGCCTTAGATTTTGTGTTACTTATTTATCTACTTTATATTTCATTTGTATTTTGTGGCATTCATGTGGACGGCAAAGTAAGAATTTCATTGTACAGGGAAACACGTTTCCCAACTGTGCATATGACAAACACTTTGACCTTGACCTTTTGACCTAGATGTAAGTTGAGGACTGTTTCAATTGTTAAGCTTGTACAAGTCAAATATTACAAAACTGTTTTAGAACAGTGTTCAATTCCATGAAACGGTCTAAAAAGGTGCAAGTTAAATGTCTTTTTCGTTACAGTTTTAGTTGTAGTCAGATGATACAGAATCCAGATACTGCATGTTCACAACAAAACATAACAATCCTTGCGATTCTGTCCTTGTGAAAAGCCCAGATTGTTTGATTTAGCACAGGTTTAGGTCTCGGGTAATAAACTCAATTGAGCAGTATTTCTGTTGGCATGTGACAGTTTTGGATTATAATTTGTATTACATGTACATTGTCAATTTAAATTTTTTTTACAACGTAGTTCCCTAAAGTTCAGCAAACTAAGAGTTTTTCATCAAAGTTGTCACAATGTGTTTACTTTCTGTGTTCAGCATAATTATGACATAAGCCTTACTGTTTTATCCTCTCTGAAGAGCCAGCCAATTTGACTGCGGGAGAAAGTGATGGATTTCGTAGACAGAGTTGCAGAGTAGACGTCACTGCTCATCAGAATATCCACCTCTTCTTCAGTCTCCATCTCCGACTCCTTACAGCAAAACACTGAGAGTGAGGCGTTTCTATTCATGTTAAACAGCTGATGACACACTGTGAAACAGAGCCATAGCAATTCCACTTACTCACCTCATGGTGTATTCTTTGGTAAACTTTTGCTTCATTATCCAGAACCACAAAGGACTGGGAGGGTGCTGCATCACCATTGAAAATGAAGCTAAGATCACCGCGCTGACATTTCATATCAGTGAAGTCTATGAGAGTGGTGTCAAGTCTAAATCAAGAGAAAGAAGAGTGTGTCTGTGAAGTTTGTTATGCCCTACTTTTTAGATCTAAAAGAAGTCCTTGACCTGGATGTCTACAAATTTGCTACGTTAAACTCTCAGTGAATTAAGATTCTCTCTTATGTATAGGAACAACCATCTACTATCTAATGCAGGAGTGGGCAGTTCCAGTCCTTAAGGGTCATTGCCCTGCTTGTTTTCCTGCCCTACTCGCTGCTGACTACCTGGATCTGTGACCATCAAGGACCAGAACTGCCCAGCCCTGATTTAATGCCTTACCTGATATTGATGCCCTGCTTGTAGATTTTACAAGCATCAGATGGCAGGATCCGGGACAACAAAGGCACTACATTACAGACGAGAGAGTAAATAAATTCAACAATGGTGGAGCAAAGTTTTTCATACTTTTGATTTTCCTGTGACAAAAGAATAAAAACATAGTTGAGCCATGCAGCAACTTTGAAGAACTCAGCAAAATGATTTCAAATTAAACTCTCAATTTTGGTGTTGTAACAAGGTTTGAGGACAGGGCATATAAACAACTTTTTTGTTGTTGTTGTTGTTGCTTTTAAATATGAAAACTCACCCCAGCTCTGAAAGTCCCAATGCAGCTCCAGGTAAAAGTCACCAAGCTACAGAAAATATAGAAATATTTCAACCTCAAGGATTCAACTGATTTCTTATGACTTCCCTGGTCAGGGGAAAAGTATAGGGCAGTGAAGATTTCATATTATGGATTTCAGCAACTAATATACTGTACATCCTCAAGGCCAGACAACGGTCATTTATGCAGATCAGAGTCTGCAGAGATACCCAAAAATAAACTGCAGTCAATCATGTGGAATGACAGCAGTGGCCAACATGTGTTTGGTGTAGCAGCAACATCTGCGCAAATGAAGCCAGCTGTGATCCTCACCTCCCGGAGAGCTTTTAGCAATTTTGGCCTCTTATCCTCCACATTCTCTCTGGACTGCTGCTTTAACTTCCGCAGTATTGCTGTGACTGAAAAAAAAAGAGGGTTAGAGAATAAATTCAGTTACATATATTTTTTTCACTGTGTCATGTAACATATTCCATATTATATGCATCAAGAGTGGTGTCTGGATAAACCGAGACCACCCACTGTCTCATAAAGTACGGCTCTCTCACAAACTGACCACTCAGCTGGATCACAATAAATTAAAATATCTCAGATACATCTTAGTTATCTTGAGCACGGTGAGAATATCACACCAAGAACAGACATAACTGAGGCCAGAGATGCTGATGAGGCACTCACTGCCCTCAGGTGGCTTGTCACACACACAACCAGTGAGCGAGTTGGTGGCGCAGTGTGCACACATTAAAGTAAAAGGTGATGGCAAGACTGCACAGCTTCGTGAAAAGTTCTATATGATATTAAGCACACATTATTCTCCATTTGTCCCACTCACTACATGATAGTTAGCAGTGTGCTCCGTTTTACTTAACCAAAGATCTCTGTCTAAATACTTTACATCCCTGGAGTTGGACTTTTTTTTTGCATATCCTTGATGATGGTGTGAATGTACCCAGCCCCTTCTCTCTGCCTCTCCTTCATCCTTGTGAGCAATGTGACCTTCTCAAAGTAAAACTCCTGGTCCCAGTCCCAAGCCAGCCTGCCACAGCAGGCATGGAGAGTTGAGACGCATACTAACGAGGCTGACGGTCATTTCTCAAACTACTAAGCCTCACAACCTTCATCACAGGCTGTACAATAAGAGGATGCTGATAATTCACAGATTATCTATAAAGGCAAAACAGCAATAATAAATATTTCTGAAGTAAACGCAATTAACACAACACCTAAAAAAGGGCAGAGCGGTGAATTAATCTCAAAGGCATTAACTGCTGCCTTTCACATGTCACTGGATGACAGATCTAAAAGCAGTAGCATCATTAAGCTGCGTGATGGCCAGTCTTTTAAGCTCCTAGTTTCCCAACACTAAGCCACCGTGCAGGCTGTATTCCAGCCCATCTGGGTGATTGGAACTCAGAGATCATCCTTACCTTTGACTTTTGATGTACACATCTAATATTATTAACATTAGCACAATATTGAGGTAGCATTGTTTACAATTTATCTGTCAAAAATGAGAAACAAAAACATTCTAATTCCTTCCTATGCCATCTTAAGATGTTCTCGGCAACCTAACTGATTTCAACTGTGAGCAATATAACTGATTTGCATTAGAAAGAATAAAATCATAACTTCCCTTTTCATTGGGATAACAGATTCTTCCATTTAGTTAGAAACCTAAAAAAAATCTGAACAATTCTACAATATGAACATTCAAATAGAAAGGCATTTCAGAATGACTGATGACTAATCCCAAAACACTGACTAAACCCATCAGAAATCTCTGAAAACATCAGGCGGTAGCAAACCTAAATGTTAAAAATGGCGAGGTTGTGTGATTGCCACTGAGAGCACCATCACACATATTCAAATATGAAAGCCCCAGGAGAGCAGCACAGACAAAACTTACTCATTTGCCTGTCACCATAGCTGATGGCTTCTGCCAGAGGACTCCATCCCTGTGCATTCTTTATCTTTACAGGTGCATTATGGGCCAGTAGGAGGAGGGCGCATTCTGAAAAATACACACAATTACCATAGGCACATTTCTTTTTACTTCCTGTATCCTCACCACTTTTCATTTTGTTGTTTAGAGCAAACCTTAATATAAATAAATATTAAGATTAAATGTTAGGATTTTAATAATAATAATAATAATAAATAAAAGTTTTGACAGACTATGAAACTACATGTACCGTTACGACAAACCTTGAACTCAAGACATTTTTCATTTAAACAACTTAAGGTTAGCATTACTGCCAGCTACTCCTCCTGCCCTGGAAGAACGATTCCTCCTCTAATGCTCTTCTTTTACTTCCTTCTTTTTTTCCCTTTGTTAAATATGTTTTATTTTTGTTTATTTTGAACATTTATAGCAAATACATACAGACTTGTAGCAAATAATTCATGCATGCACAGATGGCTCTCCAGTGTCCATAGCTGTCATGACAGAAATGTCTACAGAGAGTGCCCGTAACTTACCACAGACCGGGGACATACAATAAAAGAGGTTCAGATAAATGCTGTATGAAGCCACATTCAAGAGGAGCAAATAAATCAACATGCACTACTTAGAAGCAGCCAAGTCCATTTGCCTTCTTATATAATCAATGAAGGGACCCATTATCTTGACATATTTATAGTGTGAATTAGATGAGAGGTACCTTATCTCCTCCAAACACAGACAGGACATCATTTCATTAAGCAACATTGTAAAACAAGGAGAGGAGAGGTATATTTTTATTTACGGATAAAAGTGTTGAAGCATTTTAAAGGCCTTTAAGGCAAATTAGAAATATATAAATAAAATATACTACTTCATTAGCATTATCCTGACCAGCAAAAGTGTCTCTGTGCTCATAAACTGGCTGCACTGCATGTAATCATAATCTAAGTGGATTTCTCTATTACATATTAACTATTATACCAGTTGTATATAATCCCACTGCAGAAGTCAGAAAAGAGAAGCTGCCCTCATCAGGAGTATGAAGTATACTCCATAACAGGAAGGAGAAGTGACAGTGCCTTTAAAAAAAAAGGCATTTAACAAGGATGCCAAAAGTTGCTTCAGGAAGACCACATTATGACAGATGGCCACAGAGGACAGCAAAATTTAGTGTCACTTTCTGGGCTCAAACAAATACTGGCAGATTATCTTCTGGGAAGCCTTTTGTTCATTTTGGCTAATCATGTGTATGAAATAGTTTAAAGTTAAATACGCTCAATTACTCTAATGCTCAGCTTTACCTTTGTGGCCCAGCATCACAGCCAGATGAAGAGGCGTGTTCCCTGAAAAGAGAAGCATTGTAAACAATGTCATAAGTACTGATGTCGTTGTTATGTAAATGGATTTCAAAAAAATTACTCCAAAACCCAATCATCTTACCATGCGCATCTTTCTGAGAGATGCTATGAGTCCTGATGAGAGAGGAGAGCCGACGAACATCTCCCTTGAACACACATTCGTGAATAGGAAACTCTGAGTCCTCACTTGTCAGAATTATTGGGTTCTTGTTGTTATCATTGACAATGGTGCCAACTGATGACGAATTGCCGTTAATGTTGTTTGCATTAAGCTGCTGTTGCTGCTGCAGTATCGAGGTTCTGACTGATTTCTGAAAGGCCTTGTTGCATTTGTAATGGTGACTAGTACCGTTAGGGATAGTCCCGTTTAAGGTCTCATCGTATGTGTCCATTATCTCATTATTTTTGTTTGGTTTGTTATGGTCCTTTCGCGTGGTGCGTATCTTCTCCCCTGTCATGATGATTTTCGTTACCACGCTATCTAACTAATTACTGAGCTACAGACTGGTGAAGATGTGGCATGAATCTGGGAAGTAGTCAGCATCAGAAATATCCGCAGATAGGATTTAAACTGAACGTCGTAGCAATTTAAAATACCAGCAAATATGCCTCGTTGCTGGTTGTTCAAATAACGTTACACCTGCTGCAGTTAGAAAGCCAGTAACTCCCCAGCAGTCATTCGCTAGCTAGCTCACGCTAAAAAATGAATGTGGCTGCGGCGATGAAAATAGAAAATAATGCTCAAACTAACAGAACACACACGCACTAAATCAACATGCAGCTAAGAATTAGAACGAAAACCAAACGACTACATCGTTGTTTCTTCTACCGCACTTAACGATATGTTTGTATCGAGTCAATCCGCTTTGCGGCAAAAATTCAGACAGGGTGGTACACCAGCTGAGCTAACATCCCCGCTAGCTAGTCTCGCGAGATTATTTAACAACCCCAGTTTGGACGTGGATTTAAACAGTTTATGTCATCTTCATGAGACGCAGTTTCACTTCGTCGTAAAGTAGGTAGCTATCTTATAAGCTGAGTTGTTTTCAAGAATGGCATCGTCTAAGAAGGGGAAGAAAGTTGTAAATCAAGAAGAACTCAGGCGCCTGATGCGAGAAAAACAAAGGCAAACGACAGACAAGAGGCGCGTCGAGTCTCCTTTTGCTAAATACAACAGTCTCGGGCACCTCAGTTGTGTCCTGTGCAATATGCAGGTGAAATCCGAACTACTGTGGCCAGCTCATGTTCTTGGAAAACAACACAAAGATAAAGTTATTGAGCTGAAGGGGGCAAAGAGTCAACCAGACACACCACAAAGTCTACCAGAGAAGAGGAAAGCACCGGACACTGAGGAAGCGAACGGGAAAAAGGCAAAAGTAGCTCCGGTTGCAGGTCAATCGACGTCAGGGCTACCAGGTTTCTTTGAGAAACCCAGTGAGAAGAAACCTGTTTCTGCTCAGAAATCTGCAGGTTTGAATCTGTTGTCTGGAGTCTATGACGAGGATGATGAGGATGAGGCAGGCCAAGCAGAAGCCACATGTCCCCCTCCTCAGAAGGCTGAAGCTGCTGGCCTACCTGCTGATTTCTTTGACAGCTCCATCCCATCCACACCCGCCATCTCCCACTCTGGATCCATTCTCAGAGCAGACCTGCAGGAGAAAAGCACAGAAAAGAAAGAAAACACAGCCGAGGCGCTTCCAGAGGGCTTCTTTGATGATCCAATAAGAGATGCCAAAGTGCGCAACGTTGACGCACCCAAAGATCAAATGGACAAGGAATGGGAAGAGTTTCAAAAGGAGATAAGACAGGTGAACACAAAATCAGAGGCCATCGTGGCCGAAGAAGACGAAGAGGGTCGCCTAGAACGTCAGATTGACGAAATTGATGAACAAATTGAGTGTTACAAGAAGGTTAAGCTGCTGAGAGACAAACGCGATGTGGTAAAAAGCAAGTCTCTTGCTAGGAAGGAGGAACAAATGGAAACCGGTGGCAGCATTGAGGAGGAAGAGGAGGACGAAGAGGAGCTGCTGGGGCTTTTGTCCCAGGACTGGAGAGCCAAAGGGGCACTGGCATAGATTTATTAGAAAGAATATTTCATCCAAGAGATCTTTCTGTACAAGTAGTCTATGTCAGAAAACTGTGTATATGTTTGTTTCAAGTTGATTAAATATGTGCAACATTGTACTAAACATTAATTACCATAGACATACAGTTTCTCTCTTAATGGCTTTAAGACTACAAATCAAACCTTTACATGTATGTTTATTCATTGGTGCTCACACAAAAACACATTCATAAAATCTCTCAAGTACAGTAGCAGCACAGACCCACAATCTACATCATGATGGCCAAAGCTGTTACATTTTGAGTTCAGCTATCTAATGTCCTGCAAAAACAAGTAAACTATATGAAATTCATAAATAATTAATTCATGTTACATTATAAGCAACATGCAAAGCACAACAGAATTATTTTTAAAAAATGTACAAGTTGAGATTAAGACAAAGCAAATTTCACCAACCCAACCCTGTTCACAAGTTATTTGGCTGAAAATATATATATATATAATTTTTACAGAGCACAATGCTTATACATGACAGATTTGTTCTGTAAATACCCTTTTATTAGGCCCATAAAAATGGAATAAAATGAAATGAGTAAATGATGGTCAGTGCTTCTTATACTACCTGTTACACACTGAGCTAGGTGTGCCTTTGTTTTTAATCAAGCAATATCTACATCTTATTGCTACATGTGCCTCTTGAGTTACCACTTCAAAATTCCTTCAGTGATTCAAAGTGTTCATAGCCCTTCAAACTTGCAGAACTGAAACTCCAAAAAAAAAACAAAAAAAAAAAAACTACAAATAAATGTACGGATGGATTAAACACAATCCCAACTGCAACTGAGTGAAAATAAATCAGAAAAACACGAGAAAAATTAAATCCAAAACTCTAGCTTTAGCTTAGAAAAGAGTATAAAAAGTCTTTACTCTTATGCCCAATTGTGTGCCTCAGATACATTAGTAAAGTTAAAAACAAAACCAAAGTCTCGCAAAGATTCTAATAGTCATTTGTAAACATTCATAAAATTCGATCTCAAGTTCTATAAACAAGGTTGAGCTGAACAGTACCGGGCATTTGTGTGGATGGGTGAGGACAGCTGAAACACAATGGCATTTACAGCCTCCAGAGAAGCTAAACACAAAAATGTTACATCAAATTGAGACTAATTGGTTAAAAGGAACAAAACACAGGTGCAGGAAAACAGCAAGTCTCAGGATGGAGAACTGGATTTACTCATTTTTCTGTTTCATTATTATAAACCAAGGAATTTGCTAAAATAGCTGAATAGTCTGCATACATATACTCATATGGATTACAGTTAAAATTTAAGCTAATGCTATTGTGGCTGAGGTTGTGTTACAATAGATTGAGGGGAGGGGGAGTAAGAAGGGGGCATGCCAGCACTGTTCCACAATCTATGATAAATGTTCAGTTCATGAAAGTGCAGCAATTACAGAAAAGGGATCAAAACTCCGAACCCCCAGGCCCGGCTGGGTCTGAATACTGTTCACCACTGTCAGTGATAATATGCTCACAAACCGACAGCAGCCATCAGCTCGATCACAGAGTACCTTTGGTCTTGGTCAATGTCAAAGCACTCCAAGGTACGAGCAGTGGGAGCTGATGCTCCAAATACTTTCCTCAGGTCTCGGTAAGTCAAGCCAGGTGAACTACTTCCAACACCTGCCTGCTGGAAGAGGTCTTCCAAGTCTGTGAAGAAAAATGGTCATTTTTATTCAGAAAGACAAACACTGGTCTCAGGGCACTTCATAAAACTGAAAATCTGCATAATATTCACAAAATGATTTGTACACTTTAAAGCAATTGTTTGACATATTTGGAAATAATATTTCCTTGCCAGTTTTCTTTCCTATCAATTAAACAAGAACACTGATAGCACTTTTCATGTCTGTCTAGTAAAGCTGAAGCCACAGCTAGCAGTTAGTTAACTTAGATTAGCTTAAAGACTGAGAATGGAGAAAGGGCTAGCCCGGCTCTGTCCTAAGGTAACAAAATCTACCTTCCAGCATCTCTTAAGTCTCACTAAATAACACACTGCTATACATTTTTTATGTATACATTTTCAAAATCTTAAATAGACAGAAAAAAGAACAATATTAAGTAAAACAGCACAGACCCAACAATGTTGCATCATTCCCCACCTACAACAACTCTCCCCTTCAACTTTGCTAAGCACAGACAACACAAAGTCCTACTAACAAACATAATTCATGCTGCAATAATAAGAAGCCTTGCTGTCATTTCCCCAAACCATTTCTAACATGAATGCTGAAAAATGATACTTTGTAGTACTGTGGTGAGCACCTTTCATTGAACTGACACCAGGAAGGGACACCCTGTTTGGACATCTTGTCTCAGCATTTCTCTTGGAGCGATTTGGAGTTAAGAAGAGTGGACGTCTGCTCGTCTGCGGCTCGGCCACTGGTGTGGATAGCTCTGTCAAAAGAAAGGAGAAAAAAATGGTTTAATTACACTAACAGACGACACAAAACACTAATAAATTGTGGTATACCACGCTGTACCCTGCACATCTGGTGTTGCGTTGGTTGTAATAGCATCTTTCACCATCTCAGTTACTGGACTTTCACCGCTAATTGTTGGAGTTGTTGCATCATTGTCCTTTAAGTGCAAAGCAGATAACAGATTAAATGTAGAAGAAAGAATTTTACTTTCTGGGCTGAAAACAATGCTGCAGAATTTCTGCATGTTAAGAGTTGAGATTAATGTTCAAATTGCTCACACTGTGTTTCGACACCTTCTCTAATGAGGCCATTCTCTGACGAAGATCTGCGACTGTAGAGAGAAGGATGTTGATCTGCTCATCAGTCCATAAATGGTGCTGCTCCTCTGTCTTGTTAGCTTCACTCACTGCTTTTCTCAGGTCTGTAATGTCCTGTGAGAATGACAAAATAATGTACAGTTTAATGTTAGATTAGAATCCTTTAAGATTAAATTTCTAAGATGTCTAATTGTAGGAAATCAAACACTGGATCATGTGTCCTGGCAAATTAGGCTGGGAGACAGCAAACAGTGTAACATGTTATCCACTTTCACAAGTTTAAGTTGGCAGTATACCTCAAAATCATGTCACACATCTAGTGATAATTGCTGAGGGCACTGTAGAAAAGATAAATATACATGTATATTAATTTGGTGATCCTCTTTTCCCATCCTATTTTGGTAATGAAATTATAGTGAAGAAAACATTCAGCAGTTGTCTCAGATATTTGACCTAGTTTTAGTCAGCAAAATAAACATCTAAGTTCCCAAAATAGAGTGGCACTTGTTTCATGTATTATGAATGAAAACCCAACTTATGGATCCACAAAAATGACAGAACCTTCTTAACCCAACAACTCTGTCAGTGTAAGCCATATAAGAACTCTTAAATCGGAAGTGGAAAAGTTAACCACGGTGTCTGGTTTGGATCCATAAGCAGCATAAGCATAAGCATAAGCAGATCAACTGGCATTTTATCAATAGAATCATCTTGTAAGCATCCATCCATTATCTATTCTGCTTATACACCCTAGACAGGTTGCCAGTCTATCACAGACTGACAACCACACACACTCACAGGCAATTTAATGTTACCACTAAACCTTCATGTCTTTGGACTGTGGGAGGAAGCCAGAGTACCCGGAGAGAACCTATGTGGGCACAGGGAGAACATACAAACTGCCTGGGTCAGCCTGTTGCTCGAACGCGGAACCTTCTCCCTGTGAAGCAACAGCACTAACCACTGTGACACTGTGCTGCCCATCTCATAAGTAAGATTTGCCTCACTTTTGGGTGGGACAAATATGTAAAAGAAGCACTCCAGGCGAGCACTGAGGAGGAGAACCTAACACAGTTCTTCAGCTAATTCACTTTAGCAAAAATGCACCATTAGAACATTTTCTGTACACACCCTTCTCTATACATGCATATATTAATGATAAATGAGGAAAAAAGCAGAGTTCAGCAATATGCAAAGTGAGTATAGCAGGAGAAATGAAAACAAACAGTCAAACCACATGAGTGATATCCAACTTTGACTTCAACTCATGAAAAATCCATTGGTGTTGCTCATGTGAAATAAATATTTCAGTGCTACACTGTTAATGAAGGAACACAGCTTCAGATACATGTGTGATGTTTGTCAGCTGCCCAAAACACTGCACTGATTTTTCAGTCGTTTAACAACATGACAAATCATTCAGAAGGAAAGCCTGTTCTCATCGACCTCACTGCAGAAAACATTCAACATCGCTGTGACCGAAAACAGTCACCACTGTTAATTCCTTCATACAATTGCATGTGCACAAACTGAGTGTTAAAAACATTCAGTAGGCAACAGGTAGAGACTCAAAACAATGGCATGAACATGCATGGTAGGTGTTGTGGAATTGATGTTTAGGTTTGCAAATGTCCTATTTTGTCTCAATGTGTTATAGCAACTGTCAGTTATTCAGCGTCAAAAATAGTAGAAATATCCCCCGCTTGAATTTACCATTGTCTTCTGCAAGTCATCATCTTTCTGCTTATTTTCAGAGGCAGCCTGCATAGTCATCACATCATGCTGGACACTTGTTAGTGTGCTGCCAATTGTAGCAACACTCTGGAAAACAAAATTACATGTGAGGTCACCTTGAAAATTTGTACAAAACGTAAAATATTACTTAATTCTCAAATACATTTCTCTTTATATTCTGCTTTGATTTGTCTTTACCTTCTGAAGTTCTTCGACTATTGTGGGAAGGCCGATTAAGTCGGCAGCTGACTTCAAGTTGGCCTTTAAATGATTTACAGCAGAATCCAGCAAACTGATCTGTAGGATTAAAACCATTCAGTTACACCTCTAACAGAAAATTTCAATTTATCCAACTGTTTTATCTAAAGCTGTAGTTTGTAACTAGCGCTAGCATGAAACTCCAAATCAATTCACTCTGCTCCGCCCAGCACTCCCTGCTCCGCTATGCTCTACTGCAATCCCCTACGTTCCACCACGCTCTGCCCAGCTCTTCAGATATTTGTTAAGAAATTACAAGAAATGAGAATGCAAAAAACATTGATCAAACAGAAATAACTGAAAATCTCTGATTGGTTGGAGGTCAATCCTGTTCAAACCTTTGTTGTCACTTTGATTCTTAAGTTTTCACAAACCACACAAAACGAAAAAAATTGCGCAGAATTATGTTTTCACCTTGATCACGTGGAGGTGCATCATGCGACACATTACTCATGATGTTGGCATGGTGTTACTAGCTTGCAACATGAAGGCCTTGGGGCTAGGCATTATTTTAACCCCCAATCAGAAGACCAAACGAGAAACTCCATTTTCATATCTTGGTGTCATAAAATTATGTATAAAAAGGTGATACTGAATGTGTAAACACTTTCTCTCTGTGCAACATTTCAGCTCAATATGTGTCTCGATAAGCCACCACTGTTGAAGGGGCAGCTCGGCCTATTTGGCCCTGGGCAGAAGCAGGGTTGCCTGAGACCAAGTCAGCACAGTTACTCCCTGCTACTAGGAACAGATGGAAAGTGAGGTCAAGCCGTGCCCACCCAGCTTGGCATGATTAAAGCAGGATGACCCAGGCTAATGGGGCCAACATTATATGTTATATGATTGATATGACCAACATTAAAAGTCTTGGTTTCCCGCAATCTGTTGTGACCTCTGGTTAGTGTACCTCTGGTTAGTGTGTGACAGTGTGAATGTTTAGGTGGCTTCAAAACCCCCAAGCAATAATGACAACTGACCTTTCTGTTAATTTCTGTTAGGTTAGACCAGAGTTTGCTTAACCCCTTGTCCCCACTTGCAATGTCATCAAGCTTTCTTTCCTTGTTTTTCAGGTCTTCACTTAGTTTTGGTATTTCACTCGATGACACCTTCTGGCTTGCTTCCACTGTTAGAAAAACAAAACAAAAAAATTCATGATCGTGTGACTGGTATGTAAGAGGCTTAAGAGTGCAAAGGACAGTGAGTTTTTTTTTAATGATCATCACAAGGTAAATGTTGATGTGTGACAGTGAGTCTTACTGCTCTGCAGTTTTTCTTTCAGAGAGTCTAAATCTTCTTTCAGAGCAATCTGCATCCATATGAGTCCAGCACAGGCCATGACACAGGCAGCTAGTATGATGAACAGAAACAAGGGGTAGCACACGCTGCAGCACTGCGTATAGCTTCTTCTGTAGAGGGAAGAAACATGGTATTAATAGACATCCAACGGCAGAACCTGTTATCACTATTAATAAACTAACCAACAAAAACAAATGCAACATTATTTTAAAGCAGACATTTTATTACAAACTAAACTTACATAGTTTATGTAAAGTGGTACTTCTTAAAAAGAGTACTAACTGTTTCAAACATCTTATTTAGTTTCTATTAGGGCTGCAGTCGATCATTATTGATTGTTTTCTTGATGAAACAATCTGTTTAGTGACATGAAGAAATAACAAAAATGCCTACAGTCAGTGTAATCTATTTATTTGAATGGCGTGTTTTATTCAACCGGAAGCCTCACACTATAGCTATCAAGTAAGACAAAAACAGATGGTATATCCGTATAATTGTAAAGGTAAAACCACCAAATATTTGCCATTTTTTCTTGAAAACTAGACTTGGGGAAAAAAGCTGAATCGCTTGTCAAAATAACAGCACAGTCGATGCAGCTCTTTCGATCTTTAAAGATTCGTAAACAACATATTACTGACGTTTAAAAGCGACAAAACACATCCATAATGTATCTTACACCCCAAGAAAAAGGTTACGATTAAACCTGACACTTACTTCCCAAAGTTAGCTGAGCTGCTTAGGTTGGTGAACTCGTCGTCCTCCGAGCTCGAGTCAGACTCCGAGTCCGGCGGCTCGGTTCGGAGAAGTCGGTGACCGGACCCCTTTTTGGTCTTCTTTCTCTTGCTGTCCCCGAGTCCGATCAAGGCATTCAGCTCCTTCCTCTTCTTCATCTTCTTCTGGGGGGTCAGCGAACCCGCCGAGCCCGATTTAAAGCCCGAAAGATCCAATGTTTTGTCCAGTTTGGTGGATGTTATCCTTTATGTCGTAGCTAAGCTAAGTCAACTTTCTCTTGCTACCTTGAATTTCAACCACGCAACGGTGCTAAGTAGTTAATGGATGTAAACACATCGGATACGGATGGTTGGCTGCCTTGTTGAGTTACAACTTTTAAACATAAAGATTGATACTATGTTACTCTCCCCAAAAAACCTTCTCTAAAACCACCTTTTCCCCCACTAGTGCCGGGTTATCACATAGGCTACATTAGCTTACCCAGCTAGCATCTAACATCGTGCTAACAGCAGCTAACAATGTCTGGTTCACGTTACTTGTGCTATCACAACGTCTCAGCGAGGTTCACAGTTTCACTCATTTTGGAAACGCTACAAATGAATTGATCAATTAAATGTACCGTTATAGATCATAAAAGGAAAATATGCCGCTTTATATTTCCAGCAATCTGTCCCCGCTGCCTGTATTGTTTGGGTAGGACATCCAAATAACCTCACAGCTGATTGATGCGATGAACAGTTACAACTTCCTGTGCACTTCCTGTGTGTTTTGACCATAGGGAGGTGGATACAGAGCGCCACGGCCACCCGACCAGACGAATTATGAGAAAATAGAGTCCAGGGCATAAAAAGATAAAAGGACCCCTGGAATGAAAATCATTTTCAGTCATCCATTGTGCCTCCGTTTTTTTTTCTGGTGGCTTTGTGTCCCTTTTAGTCTTTTTGTGTGCTTGTAGTTATTTTGCGTTTCACTGTGGGCACTTCATGTATCCTTTTGGTCATTTTGTGTCTGGTGTTGATTTCTTTATGTAGTCATTTTGTGTCTCTGTTGTCATTTTAGATCTCGCTGTAGTTGTTTTGTGTGCATAAAAAGCAGGTCATAGTTGTTGTTAGGCCTTTACTATCTTACTTCTTTCTATCTACAGTATTTGTTTTTCAAGATGTGCATTTTAGTAAATTGACTCTTAGCTGAACAATATTGTGATTATATGATCTTATTACTATTTTGCAAGTTTCTGCTGTTCCAATGAATGATTCTGAGCAAGAAGAGTGTGATCCCATTTGGTACATAACAGATAAGATACATGAAAAGTGATTATCATTTTTAACATCACTTTGATTAATCTATATTTGATTTACCATATAATTGCCAAATTGAGATATATATTGATATTGAAGGATAACTTTATCAGTATGATGTTTCCAACATTACAGTCAGCCCTAATCAGTGACATTTATAAAAGAACTACAACAAATTAGAGAAATGCATTTCCTGAAGTGAATGCATGTAGATACTGATTGCTGAAGAACCTCCATGAAAATGCTGAAATGGCTGAAATCCATTGCTGAAACAGCTGAGGCTAAGATGCAATGCTGATGAAAAGAAAATGCTGAACAAATATGGAAGATGAAAAAATGTTTAATTATAAAAGATGAAAAGAAAATGTTGAATAAATTTGTAGGATGAAAAGAAAAGCTGAAGTTGGGAGCTTAAATTCTGAAACTCAGCAGAGAGGACATCTGAATCATGCTGAGCTTGAAAATTCATTCCTTGATGCAGACTGTGTAGGTTCATGACTGGATTAAATAAAACCCATAAAATCACACTTGATATTAAGATTGTTTCACGGTGTCTGGGCTCTTTCGGGCAGTATTCACTCAGTGGTATAGGTTGTTCACTTTGTATTCAAAAGCAGAAACATCCTGTTGCTTAATATGAAAGAATTGCCTATTTTCTGGAAATACTATGATTAGCTGATGAAGATTAGCATCAGGTGGCCTGTACCTTTAACTAAAAGGGTTCCCTGCCCTTGCGTTACATAACAACCAGCATAGGCAGGGCAAAACAAACACAGCCTGATTATTGGTGGAGGGATAGGAAGTGGGTCAATGAGTGGTTTGTCCCACAGACCAATCATCCATTCATCAATAAGAGTCGTGCTAAGTGGGCGCACCCACAAGCCTTTTGTGAACTGTGAGAGCAACAGTACAGTTGTTTGTTGAGTCTGCCATGCATTCAGTAAGTCTCCATGTCAGTTGTTGTAATCTTGGTCTGAGTGGCGGATTTTGATTCAAATACCTTGGTTTGGCGCCAGGAAGTTAGCAAACCTATTCAGAGGTAAAAACAAGCTCAGGGAAGTTGTTTAGAAATTGCTTTCAACTTAGCGGTGTATTGTGTGTGCATGAAAATGGAGCTTGGAGTGTTTGGTAAGGCCCAGAGCTTTTCTTTAGGAAAAACAGTCTGTATTAATGGTTATTTAACTCATAATTGATAGCTTTTGTCCTGCTACAGCTGTGTGACAGACCCCGAAATACACACAGGCAGCCTGTTTGTGGCAGCTCTGCTGCACTGTGGAAGTGAATATTGTGGTTTATGTGCTTCGGAGTTTATTCATTTAAAGTTTCAAGTTTATTTATTTAATAAATGTCATAAAAACAACAAGACACTGGTCGAACCTGTCTGGATTCACAAGGACCGTGGAAATGGGACCTAAAAGGCTGGAAGTTAGCTAATGTAGCCACACTGCGTTGTAGACTAATGTCAGCTGTGCTGCTTCATGTTTAGCTCATTAGCTTCCTAACAAAACAGACAGGTTGTTAAGGAAAATGTGTTTTACTTTACTGCACCATGAGTAGCTCATTTGTCAATGCAGTGTAGTAAACACTGTCCTGTCATATTTATCTGAAACTTCATGTGTTTCAGCAAGTAGATGGTCAGAGGGACACACAAGCACCTGTTTGTTCACAGGCCTAATATCAGGTGTTCTTCTAACATTTTAATGTTAGAAGAAAATGCTTTTGGTCTGAACATTGTGGGCTCTAAGTGAACTGGCTGAGTAGAAAGCAGGAGCCCACAGTGTCTGGGTGAGGTGGGCCTACTGGTCAGTTCAGTGACAAAATAAACTAATTCTCTCACTTCTTTAACGCTCAATCTTAATAATTCTTTAATGCAATTTTTAAATTTGATTATTTAAGTCTAATTAATCCATTTTAATTCAAAGGGGTTTCATTGGCATGAAAGTTTTAACAATGTTGCTAAAATTATAATTAAATTAGAATTTGTTTATATGTACTTCATTATTTTTAAAGTTTAAGATATATAATTTTAAAAGTATGCTTGTGTGTCTGTCATTCACCGTCCTCTATGTTGTGGAATATTAATACATAGGGAAACAAAGGCCCATCCTCCCTCCTCGGGGAATTTTTAATTGAGGTCTAATTCTTTGAATCCTGACAATACAGAGTAAAAAATTTCAAAATAAATGTCTTTCTTTTTTTCACACTGCACTGAAGGAGGAAGTGTATCTTTCTTTGTTACAATGAATTTGTTCCCTGCTCCATGACATGTGGCCTATAGATTTGGAATCATTTGAGTCAAACAAATTAATTTTTCTCTTTTCAGTTAAATCTATGAAATGTAAGTAAATTATTTTTACTTTATTGTGGGTTACCTTGTCAGACCCCCTCCTCCCAGCCCTGCGCCTGCACTAGTTTACTCACTTAAGGGGTGAAAGAATAAATCAAATCAAGTCTTGTTGAATTATTGTACTGTACCACTCTGTACTCAAGTCCTGAGTTTACTGTGACATCTGAGCCCCAGTGTTTATTTCAGGTGTTTTTGCCAGCTCTCCATGCCCAGCTCTCTTTCCAACATGGCTGCTCTGCCATGACTATTTAGATTTTTATGTGCCATCCGATTGAAAGCGGCTATCTGTGAATAGATTTGTGTAATAGGTATAGATCTAGGCTGCCAGGCACATAAAACTCTTAAGAGCTTTATCCTGGAAGATGAAAAAATGTTTAATTATAAAAGATGAAAAGAAAATGTTGAATAAATTTGTAGGATGAAAAGAAAAGCTGAAGTTGGGAGCTTAAATTCTGAAACTCAGCAGAGAGGACATCTGAATCATGCTGAGCTTGAAAATTCATTCCTTGATGCAGACTGTGTAGGTTCATGACTGGATTAAATAAAACCCATAAAATCACACTTGATATTAAGATTGTTTCACGGTGTCTGGGCTCTTTCGGGCAGTATTCACTCAGTGGTATAGGTTGTTCACTTTGTATTCAAAAGCAGAAACATCCTGTTGCTTAATATGAAAGAATTGCCTATTTTCTGGAAATACTATGATTAGCTGATGAAGATTAGCATCAGGTGGCCTGTACCTTTAACTAAAAGGGTTCCCTGCCCTTGCGTTACATAACAACCAGCATAGGCAGGGCAAAACAAACACAGCCTGATTATTGGTGGAGGGATAGGAAGTGGGTCAATGAGTGGTTTGTCCCACAGACCAATCATCCATTCATCAATAAGAGTCGTGCTAAGTGGGCGCACCCACAAGCCTTTTGTGAACTGTGAGAGCAACAGTACAGTTGTTTGTTGAGTCTGCCATGCATTCAGTAAGTCTACATGTCAGTTGTTGTAATCTTGGTCTGAGTGGCGGATTTTGATTCAAATACCTTGGTTTGGCGCCAGGAAGTTAGCAAACCTATTCAGAGGTAAAAACAAGCTCAGGGAAGTTGTTTAGAAATTGCTTTCAACTTAGCGGTGTATTGTGTGTGCATGAAAATGGAGCTTGGAGTGTTTGGTAAGGCCCAGAGCTTTTCTTTAGGAAAAACAGTCTGTATTAATGGTTATTTAACTCATAATTGATAGCTTTTGTCCTGCTACAGCTGTGTGACAGACCCCGAAATACACACAGGCAGCCTGTTTGTGGCAGCTCTGCTGCACTGTGGAAGTGAATATTGTGGTTTATGTGCTTCGGAGTTTATTCATTTAAAGTTTCAAGTTTATTTATTTAATAAATGTCATAAAAACAACAAGACACTGGTCGAACCTGTCTGGATTCACAAGGACCGTGGAAATGGGACCTAAAAGGCTGGAAGTTAGCTAATGTAGCCACACTGCGTTGTAGACTAATGTCAGCTGTGCTGCTTCATGTTTAGCTCATTAGCTTCCTAACAAAACAGACAGGTTGTTAAGGAAAATGTGTTTTACTTTACTGCACCATGAGTAGCTCATTTGTCAATGCAGTGTAGTAAACACTGTCCTGTCATATTTATCTGAAACTTCATGTGTTTCAGCAAGTAGATGGTCAGAGGGACACACAAGCACCTGTTTGTTCACAGGCCTAATATCAGGTGTTCTTCTAACATTTTAATGTTAGAAGAAAATGCTTTTGGTCTGAACATTGTGGGCTCTAAGTGAACTGGCTGAGTAGAAAGCAGGAGCCCACAGTGTCTGGGTGAGGTGGGCCTACTGGTCAGTTCAGTGACAAAATAAACTAATTCTCTCACTTCTTTAACGCTCAATCTTAATAATTCTTTAATGCAATTTTTAAATTTGATTATTTAAGTCTAATTAATCCATTTTAATTCAAAGGGGTTTCATTGGCATGAAAGTTTTAACAATGTTGCTAAAATTATAATTAAATTAGAATTTGTTTATATGTACTTCATTATTTTTAAAGTTTAAGATATATAATTTTAAAAGTATGCTTGTGTGTCTGTCATTCACCGTCCTCTATGTTGTGGAATATTAATACATAGGGAAACAAAGGCCC